CTGAATATATATATAATATTACAAGCAATAGATAATAATCAAGTTTCTATTTTGTTTTCACTTATTAGATGCATGAAATGGATCAAAAAGTTAAGACAAACACTAACTTATGAAATTAGTGTTACATTTCTGCATTTCCAAATAAACCTTTTAAATTAATAGTAAAGCTATCCAAAGATCTCCAGTTGACAAGAGCCATGAATTCTCTTTATGGATAGGACTGATATAAGATTCTCAGACTGTGTTTTTACATTCACAAATTACGATATTTTTCTCAATCCAATAGCCAGTGAAGAGAGCTTATGACTCTTTTCAAGAGAGGGTGACTTCTCCTTTAAATTGATGTCTATTTCCAGCTGAAAGTAACTTTCTTTGATAAATTATCCACCACCAACAAAAGTTACTGATCATAATGTGTGAACAAAAAATGAATTCTGAAGTTTGAATGTCCATAGTGTAACATTAATGCCAGACACCCAATATGTTAATTATTATAAATATCATACTTTATCATCATATAAATAAGCCTAAATACTACAAGAAATTTCTTGAGACACCATGTATGTTCTCACCAGGACTAAATGTTCTCATTTCATGACATCAACTGCTTTGTACTCATATTTGAGATCTATGTTGAAAGAGGCGATAACTAATGGTCAATAATTAACAAAAAAATTTTTTTTTTAACTAAAATCAAATAAAAAATCAGGGTTTTAGAAAGTGAAACCGGCAGAAGAAATTGACTGATCAAAATTTAGAGAGCGAAAGTAGTAGAGTGAGAGAGACCTTTGAAGTTGAGAGCGATACGAACACGGCAAGAGCAAGAGCTCCCCCAGGAAGAATATAGCTTCAGCTTCATTGGCTCCTCACCATTACTCCCCTATTCACAAACAACCAATAGCTTGTTAGACAGTTAAATCAATCAGTTGAGTCTGTAGTGATTGATGTGATGGTGCTCTGTGCAATTGATTGATGATGAAGTAAGAAAATTTTAGTGACAATTTCTTTTAAAAAAAAAATTAAAATTAAAATAAATTGGAAACAGAGCAACTGATTCACAACGAATTTGAGAGACACCAACCATAGTGCACGATAAGAGTAATTCCTTGCTTCTTAAGTGACAACTCCTCAAATTTGAACTCTTGTTTTTCAAGTGCTATGTAAAACATTTTATAAGTGCCAGCGATCCATGATGTAAAATCACGCTCTCTACATTTTTCCTATTAAATTGAGTGAAAAAAAAAGGAGTTGCAGCTGGCTCCTGTTGTGTAGTTTCTATATTTATTTTTAGAAAACCCAATAGCCTACAATAGGAAGAAAACCCTAATTTTACAAAACCCAATAGCCTACAATAGGAAGAAAACCCTAATTTTAGAAAACCCAATAGCCTACAATAAGAAGAAAACACAAAAACAAGAACCATTACAACAAAAAAGCTTAAGAAACACCAAATCATCATAACTCAATCCAAATTTACAGCTGAAAAAAGAAAACAAGAAAAATTCAACTGAAACAATGAAAATGCACTGACAAATGTATGGTTTGAAGCTCACCGAGAACCCTTGATCCCTCTTCTGAGCCCATTGTAGCTGGACTGAAAATTGAGCTGGGTTTCTCAATTCCTACAGCGATAAAGCTAGAGAGAGAGGGTGGAGGGACCGGCTTAGAAAGAGTCGTGGAGAAAGAGAGAGAGAGAGAGCAGCGATGAGAGAGAGCAGCGAATGAGAGAATTTTATTTTTAGGGCCAAAGAAGATCGTATTTACCGAACGAATTAGGGCAATATATTAAATTATGGAGAAAGGGCATTTTAGGCAACACAAAAAAAAGTGAGAAGGACATTTTTGGCAAAACATTTCTTGAACAGTAATAATTCATGTGCCACGTCAGCAATTCATTTTAGGGAAATATGAAACTTTGACTCCGCCTCTGAGTAAATACGGAGCCCTAACCCCATTTATATGTAATTATCCCATAAAAAATCATGTTAGGGACACAGCGCCCAAGGAGAAGGCGTTCTTGGACAACAAGTATGAACGTGACTTGGAATTGTCATTGTTGGAACGAGCTATGAAGGACTACTTCCAGTCATTAGAGGCGCTCAGATTTGAAGGTAATACTAATAATGTTGATGGTGATGAACAAGTACTTTGTGCCATTTGTAAAGATGAGATATTAATTGGTTCGCGGGTCATTCGCATGCCATGCTCTCATTTATACCATGTCTTCTGCATTGCAGAATGGCTCAAAAGGAGTCTTATGTGCCCGTTGTGTCGCTTCAACTTGTCAACCACTTTCCCAATGTAATTGACAATCATCCCTTCACCATCTATTCTAATTCTGCTATATGTAATATCATCTTTTGTTCTTCTTGTTACTGAGTTATCGGATTAATTCACCATTTCAATAAAAATAACAGGGTACACATTAGATTTTGTAGCTTTGGTCAATATGGTTAGTTACCTGATTATATATGCATTGGATTAATTGTTTTGGTCAGTTCAGATCACATAAATTTTTTTGGGTAGGTTATACCACAACTTGTTAATACTAATATTAACTAATCTCAAAGTTGTAGCAAGTTCATAGGTTTGTAAATTGAAAAGAAAAAGAAATAGTTGAAGAACATTACTTCAATCTATATGGTTAATCACCCATTTTCAAAAGTAAAAACTCTGGCAGTCATGACTCATAAGAATTTAAAAGTTATATCAAATTTAAGGCATTGAGGTTAAAAGGTATATTATCTGAAAATTACATTTTGGAGTACGGATTGACCTCCCTCATGGACTGTTTGTTGTAGGAAACTAGGATTATTAGCTGGTCATTGTGGGTGGGCCTTTCTTTTGTTGAGGGGATAGAAGAGTAGTTACATTCCTTTAGGTGCTCTACATATTTGCATCTAAAACACTGATTCACCAGATGAGAATAATTTTTAGTTCACAAAATCAGATTAGGTTCTCATAATTGGGTGTGGGTGAGACCAAAAAAAATTCACTTGCAACAGAATATCACAGATTAATTCGCATGCAGGGGACGGGTATATATACATGAATATGAGCCTCACACAAGATATAATGCAATTTGGTCACCATAACTTCACTACTAGTTAAAGGTGACATTAGGCGGTTACCTCTGCTCTTCATTACTAATACTGCCTCCTTCCTTGTTCCGCGCGTTGCTCTTGTAATTAGGAAGGGAAACACAAAACCACAGGAGTAATAATTCGGGAGACATATCCATCAGAGAGAGAGAGATCGAGAGAAATCAGATCCTAATGGTAAAAATTGACATGCTAATAGATGTTAATATTATCATATGCTACTGGAGAGTACTTACAAAAATAAATAAATAAACTACTGGAGAGTCAAGCTAAATGCATGCCCTATAAACAGTATGAAGCATGAAAAGATAATAACAAACCTATTATCCAAGTGCTCCCCTCATGGAAATGTCTTCAGGCAATTGGCTGAATGTCACAATTTGCTTAGTCCTCAGGATGTGACATTCTCATGAGGCAGACAGAGTACTCCTTGTCGACAATATCATTCTGGAAAAATCCTTTCTAGAATGATTAAGTCGAGCAACATTTTGTTGGGGTCTGACATGAGAGGTCGCTTGGGTGATTTTGGTCTAGCGAAGTTGTATACGCAAGGGGAGGTGCCGAACACGACGAGAGTGGTGGGGACTTTGGGATATTTGGCGCCGGAGCAAAAATATACAGAAATTTGCCCTAAAAGATGAGAAATTATTGTATGAGGCAGCACCACTCCAAGTCACAGTCGCCATCGCCGGCGAGCCCTCTCAGGTAATTGCAGATTCCCTCCCCGTTCTAGTTCATCGTACTCCAAATTCGCCTGTTTGACGGCAAACCAAGCAATCTTCGAAGCCACCTACAGAGCGATGAAGATTCACATCGTTGATTTTGGGATCGGGCGATGGCGGAGCTAGACTACGAAGCCAATGATCAGCGTTGAACAGAGATCGGCGTTGGTGACCATAGGGGAAGACTCCAGTGAAGGCGACAATGGTTCATACAATAATTTGTCCTAAAGGATAGTATTAGCACTAAACGTGGTCGTTTTGACCTAAAGGATAGTATTGTAATTTTAAAAATATAATTTTTTAGTTTTTTAAATAAAAGGGAATATAATAAGGGTAATTTAGTCATTTCACATATCCTTAACGCCCAATTGACAGAGTTGGGGTAAAATGATAACTTTATTATATTATTGGGGGTTTTAAAACTGATTGGAGTTTTATGATCACTTATTAATAGTTTTGGGGTTTTACAAATTTGCCCAAAAAACAAAAGATAATAAAGAAAGGGGTAAAATGATAACTTTATTATATTATTGGGGGTTTTAAAACTGATTGGAGTTTTATGATCACTTATTAATAGTTTTGGGGTTTTACAAATTTGCCCAAAAAACAAAAGATAATAAAGAAAGGGTTCTCTCCATTCCGGTAAAGGATTCACAAAAGTCATACTCCCACAAGGATTAGAATGCACATGTATAAAATACGACATACGCGAAGACATGTACTAGTAAATTTAGTAACTCCTCCAGTTCAGTTCTAGCAAATACTAATAGATCTAGATCTCTCTCTCCTGGGTATGGCGACAACAAGAGAGGTGTATGTTAGGGCTTTAGCTTTTTTTAATATCAGAGGAGGTGATGATCAGTCCCTGCCTTGTATCAACTTTAAAATCAATTTACTGGTGGAGCGGACTTATCAATCTTCCGATGGAGCCCTTAAAAGCATCACCAGAGACGGAGACAGACAGCGCATCATCAGAGACCTTATCGGAGAGATTTCATCAGAATATCCATATCACTCCATAACCTATGATCTCCTCTCCACAATGATCGATGGAATGGAAATCCCTTTCCCATTAGAGAAGATGAAATAGGATGGTAACCGTAACTGCAAACCGCAGCAGGCCGAGTTGGAGAACGTGGACGACCTAATCATTCGTGTTTTGGACGAGGCTCGTTCCATGGTGAATAGTAATTATAGTCAGAATAAGAAGATATTGGCGTTGGATCTCTACATTGAGAATAGAGTGATTTTACCCCGCCATGAATTCGAAGCAATGGACCGGGCCAGAGAGAAGGAAGACCGTGTGTTACGACTTCATCGATTGGTTTCTTCCTTTGATCTCTTTTTGGACTTTTGTATAATAACGAGGGAAATAAAAAATCATGTTAGGGACACAGCGCCGAAGGAGAAGGCGTTCTTGGACAACAAGTATGAACGTGACTTGGAATTGTCATTGTTGGAACGAGCTATGAAGGACTACTTCCAGTCATTAGAGACGCTCAGATTTGAAGGTAATACTAATAATGTTGATGGTGATGAACAAGTACTTTGTGCCATTTGTAAAGATGAGATATTAATTGGTTCGCGGGTCATTCGCATGCCATGCTCTCATTTATACCATGTCTTCTGCATTGCAGAATGGCTCAAAAGGAGTCTTATGTGCCCGTTGTGTCGCTTCAACTTGTCAACCACTTTCCCAATGTAATTGACAATCATCCCTTCACCATCTATTCTAATTCTGCTATATGTAATATCATCTTTTGTTCTTCTTGTTACTGAGTTATCGGATTAATTCACCATTTCAATAAAAATAACAGGGTACACATTAGATTTTGTAGCTTTGGTCAATATGGTTAGTTACCTGATTATATATGCATTGGATTAATTGTTTTGGTCAGTTCAGATCACATAAATTTTTTTGGGTAGGTTATACCACAACTTGTTAATACTAATATTAACTAATCTCAAAGTTGTAGCAAGTTCATAGGTTTGTAAATTGAAAAGAAAAAGAAATAGTTGAAGAACATTACTTCAATCTATATGGTTAATCACCCATTTTCAAAAGTAAAAACTCTGGCAGTCATGACTCATAAGAATTTAAAAGTTATATCAAATTTAAGGCATTGAGGTTAAAAGGTATATTATCTGAAAATTACATTTTGGAGTACGGATTGACCTCCCTCATGGACTGTTTGTTGTAGGAAACTAGGATTATTAGCTGGTCATTGTGGGTGGGCCTTTCTTTTGTTGAGGGGATAGAAGAGTAGTTACATTCCTTTAGGTGCTCTACATATTTGCATCTAAAACACTGATTCACCAGATGAGAATAATTTTTAGTTCACAAAATCAGATTAGGTTCTCATAATTGGGTGTGGGTGAGACCAAAAAAAATTCACTTGCAACAGAATATCACAGATTAATTCGCATGCAGGGGACGGGTATATATACATGAATATGAGCCTCACACAAGATATAATGCAATTTGGTCACCATAACTTCACTACTAGTTAAAGGTGACATTAGGCGGTTACCTCTGCTCTTCATTACTAATACTGCCTCCTTCCTTGTTCCGCGCGTTGCTCTTGTAATTAGGAAGGGAAACACAAAACCACAGGAGTAATAATTCGGGAGACATATCCATCAGAGAGAGAGAGATCGAGAGAAATCAGATCCTAATGGTAAAAATTGACATGCTAATAGATGTTAATATTATCATATGCTACTGGAGAGTACTTACAAAAATAAATAAATAAACTACTGGAGAGTCAAGCTAAATGCATGCCCTATAAACAGTATGAAGCATGAAAAGATAATAACAAACCTATTATCCAAGTGCTCCCCTCATGGAAATGTCTTCAGGCAATTGGCTGAATGTCACAATTTGCTTAGTCCTCAGGATGTGACATTCTCATGAGGCAGACAGAGTACTCCTTGTCGACAATATCATTCTGGAAAAATCCTTTCCAGAATGATTAAGTCGAGCAACATTTTGTTGGGGTCTGACATGAGAGGTCGCTTGGGTGATTTTGGTCTAGCGAAGTTGTATACGCAAGGGGAGGTGCCGAACACGACGAGAGTGGTGGGGACTTTGGGATATTTGGCGCCGGAGCAAAAATATACAGAAATTTGCCCTAAAAGATGAGAAATTATTGTATGAGGCAGCACCACTCCAAGTCACAGTCGCCATCGCCGGCGAGCCCTCTCAGGTAATTGCAGATTCCCTCCCCGTTCTAGTTCATCGTACTCCAAATTCGCCTGTTTGACGGCAAACCAAGCAATCTTCGAAGCCACCTACAGAGCGATGAAGATTCACATCGTTGATTTTGGGATCGGGCGATGGCGGAGCTAGACTACGAAGCCAATGATCAGCGTTGAACAGAGATCGGCGTTGGTGACCATAGGGGAAGACTCCAGTGAAGGCGACAATGGTTCATACAATAATTTGTCCTAAAGGATAGTATTAGCACTAAACGTGGTCGTTTTGACCTAAAGGATAGTATTGTAATTTTAAAAATATAATTTTTTAGTTTTTTAAATAAAAGGGAATATAATAAGGGTAATTTAGTCATTTCACATATCCTTAACGCCCAATTGACAGAGTTGGGGTAAAATGATAACTTTATTATATTATTGGGGGTTTTAAAACTGATTGGAGTTTTATGATCACTTATTAATAGTTTTGGGGTTTTACAAATTTGCCCAAAAAACAAAAGATAATAAAGAAAGGGTTCTCTCCATTCCGGTAAAGGATTCACAAAAGTCATACTCCCACAAGGATTAGAATGCACATGTATAAAATACGACATACGCGAAGACATGTACTAGTAAATTTAGTAACTCCTCCAGTTCAGTTCTAGCAAATACTAATAGATCTAGATCTCTCTCTCCTGGGTATGGCGACAACAAGAGAGGTGTATGTTAGGGCTTTAGCTTTTTTTAATATCAGAGGAGGTGATGATCAGTCCCTGCCTTGTATCAACTTTAAAATCAATTTACTGGTGGAGCGGACTTATCAATCTTCCGATGGAGCCCTTAAAAGCATCACCAGAGACGGAGACAGACAGCGCATCATCAGAGACCTTATCGGAGAGATTTCATCAGAATATCCATATCACTCCATAACCTATGATCTCCTCTCCACAATGATCGATGGAATGGAAATCCCTTTCCCATTAGAGAAGATGCAATGGGATGGTAACCGTAACTGCAAACCGCAGCAGGCCGAGTTGGAGAACGTGGACGACCTAATCATTCGTGTTTTGGACGAGGCTCGTTCCATGGTGAATAGTAATTATAGTCAGAATAAGAAGATATTGGCGTTGGATCTCTACATTGAGAATAGAGTGATTTTACCCCGCCATGAATTCGAAGCAATGGACCGGGCCAGAGAGAAGGAAGACCGTGTGTTACGACTTCATCGATTGGTTTCTTCCTTTGATCTCTTTTTGGACTTTTGTATAATAACGAGGGAAATAAAAAATCATGTTAGGGACACAGCGCCCAAGGAGAAGGCGTTCTTGGACAACAAGTATGAACGTGACTTGGAATTGTCATTGTTGGAACGAGCTATGAAGGACTACTTCCAGTCATTAGAGACGCTCAGATTTGAAGGTAATACTAATAATGTTGATGGTGATGAACAAGTACTTTGTGCCATTTGTAAAGATGAGATATTAATTGGTTCGCGGGTCATTCGCATGCCATGCTCTCATTTATACCATGTCTTCTGCATTGCAGAATGGCTCAAAAGGAGTCTTATGTGCCCGTTGTGTCGCTTCAACTTGTCAACCACTTTCCCAATGTAATTGACAATCATCCCTTCACCATCTATTCTAATTCTGCTATATGTAATATCATCTTTTGTTCTTCTTGTTACTGAGTTATCGGATTAATTCGCCATTTCAATAAAAATAACAGGGTACACATTAGATTTTGTAGCTTTGGTCAATATGGTTAGTTACCTGATTATATATGCATTGGATTAATTGTTTTGCTCAGTTCAGATCACATAAATTTTTTTGGGTAGGTTATACCACAACTTGTTAATACTAATATTAACTAATCTCAAAGTTGTAGCAAGTTCATAGGTTTGTAAATTGAAAAGAAAAAGAAATAGTTGAAGAACATTACTTCAATCTATATGGTTAATCACCCATTTTCAAAAGTAAAAACTCTGGCAGTCATGACTCATAAGAATTTAAAAGTTATATCAAATTTAAGGCATTGAGGTTAAAAGGTATATTATCTGAAAATTACATTTTGGAGTACGGATTGACCTCCCTCATGGACTGTTTGTTGTAGGAAACTAGGATTATTAGCTGGTCATTGTGGGTGGGCCTTTCTTTTGTTGAGGGGATAGAAGAGTAGTTACATTCCTTTAGGTGCTCTACATATTTGCATCTAAAACACTGATTCACCAGATGAGAATAATTTTTAGTTCACAAAATCAGATTAGGTTCTCATAATTGGGTGTGGGTGAGACCAAAAAAAATTCACTTGCAACAGAATATCACAGATTAATTCGCATGCAGGGGACGGGTATATATACATGAATATGAGCCTCACACAAGATATAATGCAATTTGGTCACCATAACTTCACTACTAGTTAAAGGTGACATTAGGCGGTTACCTCTGCTCTTCATTACTAATACTGCCTCCTTCCTTGTTCCGCGCGTTGCTCTTGTAATTAGGAAGGGAAACACAAAACCACAGGAGTAATAATTCGGGAGACATATCCATCAGAGAGAGAGAGATCGAGAGAAATCAGATCCTAATGGTAAAAATTGACATGCTAATAGATGTTAATATTATCATATGCTACTGGAGAGTACTTACAAAAATAAATAAATAAACTACTGGAGAGTCAAGCTAAATGCATGCCCTATAAACAGTATGAAGCATGAAAAGATAATAACAAACCTATTATCCAAGTGCTCCCCTCATGGAAATGTCTTCAGGCAATTGGCTGAATGTCACAATTTGCTTAGTCCTCAGGATGTGACATTCTCATGAGGCAGACAGAGTACTCCTTGTCGACAATATCATTCTGGAAAAATCCTTCACACAACACTATATGGGAGGCCCTATCGCAAAACCTAAATTTTATTACCTTGTTAACTTCTTGTAAATTATTTCAGCTATAATTTTGTTCATTTTAATTAACACAGCCAGAGTTCAATGCTTTACATCAAGGGTTGCCCGAGTGGATATATGTTTACTGGAATTTAGAACAGTGACACTATCACAATACAACTAACATTAATTCTTTATATTCAACAGCTTTATTACCATCCAAATATCTGGAAGGCATTTCATTGAGATGTTATTGCTTGAAAGTTTTGAGAATCTAAAGCTGACAAAATTTCCTGAAATTGAAATCGTATTTATAAATGACTGAACAAGTTCTTACATTCTAGACAAGCATAAGTACATAATTAATACCTAGGCCTTGTGGGCTTGCACCATGCAGCAAGACTACATCATGAAACACATTGCTTATGTTTTTTGAACCTATGACTCACATATGTAAGAAAGTTCCTAGAGATTGAAGTTCATAAATGTATTACGAAAATCATTACCTGTAACTTAGTTTCCCTCGGTAACAATTTGAGTGCCTGTGCTCCATTGATTCGATCCCACCTTCGGCTCAATAGATCAAGGACCTTTGTCTGCATCACCATCTGTAATATCCTGAGTTTCAAAATAGGTTCTTTGATGAGTGATGATGGTGAAAAATGAGAAAAAATAAAAAAGAAAATTACAAGGCTTGAAGTAAATAATAAAATTTGTTAGTGGTGAAATGGGAAGCTTCAAAAGAAATAAAATAGAAAAAGAAAAAAGCACATAAATAGAATATGTAGATGGACGGGTGTTGGTACATGAGATGAAATATTATATATGTGTGTGATTTGCATAAATGCATGAGGTGATGGAATAATATGGGGCATTGTGTGCTATGGTATGGAGAGAAAATAATATATAAGAGGCCACATGTACACTGCAAAATCTTTATTTGCTTAGTTTTTTTTTTTTCTTTCCCTAGTTGATAGGCACACTCCCTCTCTCAGAATTGTTTGTACCAAGAGGAGTTGAACCTTATCTTTTACAAACCTTAGCTTCTGCATTTACCACTCATAAATGTTTTACCCACATGTAACATCCTCAAAAACACATGTTGCCACATGACCAGGCCACTCGTATATCTATAACATAACTTAGCTCATAAAAGATACTCGGTGCCTTATACATATGCATATACATAAGTACACTACACTCTTGTCTCCGTAATGGGAGAAACAGTAAGTAACAAACGTGTGTAGAAATAGTTCAGGCATAATAGATCACTTGTACCTGTACATGAGAAGCATTAGTATATGAATGATATGTGGATACCACCCAAGTATGTATGTATGTCTTAGTGAATTATCTTCAGTATTGGACCCAAAGAAAAGAAGAGGGCGGCCATTCGGTCAACAGAGGAAGAGAAGGAAAAAGAAAAGGAAGAAGGAGGGAAAAGGAAAGAAAGGGTCAAAAAGACGAAATCAAACACAAAGAGAGGTAAGTTTGGAAAAATCCAAAATCCAAATTATTGTTCTAAATTGCGAAAGATTCATCGTTTTAGATGATGTTTTACTTGTGAAAACATGATTTATAGTTTTTTTTTTTTTTTTACTCTAGTTGTTAAAGCATGAGAAATGATTGAAAAGTTTGTAGACTTTGAATATGATTCTGTGATAAGATCTGAGCTGAACACCTATGGGTTAGGCCTAAATTTTATACGACTTGGACCTGTTCATTTCCTTTGAAATAATATGGTATACTGAAATTTGTGGTTGTGGGTTTTGATTTGATTTAATTTGGTCACAACTTGAATCTATTATGTATTTTCTTGATGATCTCTGCTGCTCAAACCAAACCAAATTATAGAGCAGGTTTCTTCACTATTTTTATTTGTTTTTTTTTTTCCAATTTCTGACCTGTATATATATATTGTGGGTGAATTTTAAAAGACACTGTATTTGGTGAAACTTCTTTAAATGGCGGCACCTTTGTGAAATTTTATTTCATACAAAGTTTGAAATTAGAGATGAAATTTTGAGAGGTGAAAATATAAGCTTAAGAGATTCTCCAAAAATTTATTTTATTATTTATTTTGAAGTATTTGGGTTGAGTTAGGGTGAATTGTCTAAAACGAGCTTAGTCTGTGGGAAAAAAAAGGTTGTTCAAAGAATTGTTTATGATTACCTATGTCGGTATTTGCTTTTGGTCCTTCAACTGTATATGTGCGTGCCTAGCATAAAAGAAACTCCCTTTGATTGAAAGACCTTAAACGGCCTGGGTTTAATGAGGGTATGTTCACGGTCCCTGGGTGCGAGCCCTTTAAGCTGAAGGACAGGGGCGGCAGTTCCGGGGGGAAGACCCTGAAGACGCATAGGGTACACAGTGATTGACTGGTGGTTGTATTGATGGGGTTCTTGGATTTCTTTTACTGGATAAAATAGTCCATTGTTCTTTAATAAGTTGATTTTTATGATAGTGACAGTTTGAATTGAAAAGAAAATTTGAGTGCCTTATATGTAGTTATTTAATTTCATATATTCGGTTGCCTAATCCCATTTGTTCAGTTCTGATTTCCAGCATCTGTGAAAAAGAATATATTTCCCTACTTGGCTGGTTGAGCTCACGCAAATTTTCTAAAATTATTTTCAGGTGGTAGACATGGTGGGCAAGCTTAGGGAAAAAGTAAAAGTGAAAGAAAGTATACGGTAATTTAGCTTGATACTCAAGACTAGTGTCTATGTTAAGGTTGTCTGACATTTGATTTATGCCAGCAATGCGGACTTCTGAAAAGTTGAGATTTTGAGGCCATAGTGGCATAGTTTGAGAGTTGAAATTTATTTTGATATCTCCATGGTCACTTTTATATTGAGACATGTCTCGATAAATATTTGAGGTATTTTATTAGTTGTGATTCTTGTGAAGGGTGGTAAAATGGGTCACAACCCAACAATCCGCTTATATTCGTCCATTTTTTAATGATTTTGGATGAACTATATTTAAAATGGGTCAAAAATGGGTTGGATAATTTTTAACCACTTAATTTGAGGGTCAAGATGGGTTGAATATAGGTAATATTCTACCCATATTTCACCCAGCACATAATAGATACACAACACACACCTATTTTATATTGCACACAACTCATTTCTCTTTCTAAAATTCTCCCAGTCACGATTATGATTGTAAGTTAGGCTGGCCCAACCAGTCCAATCACCTAACCTCAACCTAAAATCGGGTTTGGTTGGGCTAGTTCGAAATCGGGCAGGTTTCACAGGCCTTTTTTTTTTTTTTTTTTCAATTATGCAAATTACATTTTCATTTTCCATGTTTGTAAACATCAAAATTTTTAAGAAAATTTTATTTTTAAAACATCAATATTTTGGGCGGGTCAGTATCACTGGTCATTTTTTATTTTACAAAAATACAAATTACATTTTCTTTTTCCAAGTTTGTAAACATCAAAATTTTTAAGAAAATTTTATTTTGTAAACATCAATATTTTGGACTGGTCGGTCGGGTTTCACGGGTAAAATTTTTTTTTTTTCAAATATGCAAATTACATTTTCCTTTTCCATGTTTGTAAATATCAAAATTTTGTTTTTGAAACATCAATATTTTGGGTGGGTTTCACCGGTAAATTTTATTTTTTTTACAAATATACAAATTACATTTTTCTTTTCCATATTTGTAAACATCAAATTTTTTAAGAAAATTTTATTTTTTAAACATCAAAATTTTGAGTG